AAACCGAGCGGGCCGCCATCTTGGTGAGGGGCGACCTCTGGCCTGGGAGGAAGGGGCCGCCATCTTGGTGAGGGGCGCTCCCCCTCCCCCACTCCCTGGGGACAAGGGAGCTGCTAGTGGGCAGGGAGGGAAACTGAGGCAGGGTGCTAAAGGCAATGAGTGGGCCCATCCAGCAGAGGACCCAGGAGTCCAGACTCTTCTGTCCTCCTGCATAAGTGGTGCTGCTGGCCCCACCGTCCCCCTGCCAACCCCCCGGAGCACCCTAGGCCATGAGGATGCCCCAGGGCGGGGGAAGCTGCTAGATGCTGACCCTGTGTTGCGAGTTGGGTTTCAACCAGAAGTCCAGCCAGGGCCTGGATTGCAGAGCCTTTCTATCCCTTTGGGGGCTTCGTCAGCTGGGAGCAAACTCTCACGTTAACCTGCGAGCCCCGGATGCCCCTCTTCTCATTCTTTGCAAGGGTGTTGCCAACTCTTGTGGTTTTTATTGCCAGGCATGAGCAACGCTCCCCCTTGTTTGCCACCCACGTGCAGGATAAATGTTGTTACGTGCACCCAAGCATGTGTGGATGTGCACCACCAGTAGACACGCACCCTGCCAGCTGTGGGAGTAACCACACTAGGGCTGCATCTAGACTGGCATGATTTTGCGCAAATACTTTTAACGGAAAAGTTTTTCCATTAAAAGTATTTGCGCAAGAGAGCATCTATACTGGCATGTGCCTTTGCGCAAAAGATTTGCTTTTGAGCAAAAGCATCCATGCCAGCGTAGAAGCTCTCTTGCGCAAGAAAGCTCCGATGGCCATTTTAGCCATCGGGCTTTCTTGCGCAAGAAATTAACTTTGCTGTCTACACTAGCCCTCTTGCACAAAAACAGTTGCGCAAGAGGGCTTATCCCTGAGCGGGAGCGTCGGAGTATTTGCGCAAGAACCACTGATTTTGTACAGTACAAAGTCAGTGTTCTTGCGCAAATACTGGCGGCCGGTGTAGGCAGGTGGCAAGATTTTGCGCAAAAGCAGGTGCTTTTGCGCAAAATCTTGCCAGTCTAGACACAGCTTCGGTGTGTGGTTATTTTCCGCTTCAGAGATCCTAGGTTCAAATCCGCCTTGTGGCGGTTACATGGGCTATCTGCTAATCAGCTGGGCAGCATTTGAATCTTTCCTAGGTGGCTGCACAGCTTAAAGGGAAGATTGGTCTTGAGCTATTTATTGTTTTTCTTACACACCCCAGCTTCTGGAGGATACTAGTTACATAAGATTTCAATAATTGATTTTAAGTTTAAAGAAAAAATACCTTTCAAGCTCTCATTTTGGAGAAAAGCTTGACAACGTAACCTGAATGCAACCCAAAAACTCAGAAACCAAAACATCTTTAAAAAAAAATCTCCTGATTTTCTCCAGGGACTGGCTCATGATTTTCAAATGCTTGGGGTTGCAAATACTTGCAATTTTACACCCATACAGCTCTATGCTCAGACACAATTTTGCAAACCCACACGCTTCACAGATTACCTGGTTTCCAGGAGGCAGCCAAGCAGCTATCTGTTGAAGTCTGGTACATCGAATTATTTGACCCCATAAAACTGGGCCTGTAATTATTTGCTGGAGAAAAGCCCAAAGTTGCTTTTCAAAATCAAGCCCCAGCTTTGTAATTATCCTTGACGCCTCTCTGTGGCTGCTGCCTGCTAGGAAACAGCCTCAGGTATCACCTCACTAGTGCTAAGTGAAAATAGAAAAATCTCTAGTGTTTCGGGGCTTTAATTTAACACCTCTGCAGGAGAGGAGGGAGGGAGGCAATGCAAGAGGGCTCTCCAGGCCTAAGGGAAAATCCCGCTAGCTGAAATTGTTGCTATCGTATTCATTTTCACACATAAAGAGAAAGGTGTTTTTTAAACCAGCCTCTCAGAAAAGCAGAGCTCCTTCATTACATCTGTTGTGCCATAAAACTGCAGTAATGGAGCATGTTAACACTTGAGGCGAAGAGCGGAAAGTTGAAGATGGATGCTGATTTTTCCTGCAGTTTCCACACCATCCCTGCTAGGGTTGCCAGATGGTTTCAACAAAAATACCGGACACTCTTGACATTACATCACAGTCTACATTGCATCTTATTTAGAAAACACCGTTTTCTCATTTCTATTTTCTCAATTTGTTTCCCAAACAGAAAGCTCAAATACTGAGCTGTCCGGTTCAAAACCAGACACCTGGCAACCCAAGTCTCTGCAGCCACAGTGAACCCCTGAACATGCCCTTAACAGGAGGGAAGGGAGAACTCATTTGGCCCAAATTGGAGCCCCTGTTCTAGCTTTAGAAAAGGATTTCTGAGGCTCTGCTTATTAGCTGTGGCCAAACACAAATTGGGGACTGTTGTATGATTTCCTTTGTTAAATCTTGTTTTGTAAGAGGCCTAGAAGCCCGTCGAGAATTATTTTCAAATAAGAATCTGTATTATCTGCGTAGCACAAGCTTATAATTAGAAATAGATGCCTGGAGTTACACTTTGATTTCACGGTTCCTTGTGTAAATCTGGAGTAACTCCACTGAAACAAATAGAGAGATCCTGTGTTGACACCGGTGTAAAGGAGAACAGCGTCGCTCATCCTTTTCAGTAAGAGTTTTCTTGGAAAATCAAGGTATGATAAGACCTGCTCAATGGAGCTTTATGCTGATTTGCATCAGCTGAAAATCTGCCCACGGGTGCCTAGTTAGAGAAGGGACGTTTTGCAAAACTCTCAAAAGTTTCACAGAGCCACACCTACAAAAAAGCTTCCCAGAGCAGTGTTTCCCAAATGCATTTTCCATGGAACCCTTTTCAGCTTAAAAGAATTTCAAGGAACCCCTAGGGTTGCCAGGGTAAAATTTGTCAAGCAAAAAAAAGACCCACCAGAATTGGTCGAGAAAAAAAACAACAACTGCAAAATAGACTCCGTCTCTTTAAGAAGGGGCGGGGGAGTGTCTCTTTTTTGCGGAACCCTTACTTTCCCTTCATGGAACCCCAGGGTTCCACGGAGCACCAATTGGGACACACTGTCCTAGAGGTTTGATGGGCTCTCATACCCCTCTAATTAGCCTTCATTTCCATTATGCCCTGTTGGTGGGGGACAGAACACAGAGAGGAAATGTCAGGTTTACAGAACCATCACATTTGCTCCACAGGTGAATTCTCCCCTGTGCTGCAGGCCAGTCCAAGGTCCGTGAACCACTTTGGGTCTCCTTGGTATGAATGAATGAAACTAAAAGGGCAGCAGGTTTAAAATAAAATAAAAGGAAGTTCTTCTTCACACAGTGCATAGTCAATCTGTGGAACTCCTTGCCTGAGGAGGCTGTGAAGGCTAGGACTATCACAGGGTTTAAAAGAGAACTAGATACATTCATGGAGGTTAAGTCCATTCATGGCTATTAGCCAGTATGGGTAAGGAATGGTGTCCCTGGCTTCTGTTTGTCAGAGGGTGGAGATGGATGGCAGGAGAGAGATCGCTTGATCATTTCCTGTTTGGTTCACTCCCTCTGGGGTATCTGCCATTGGCCACTGTGGGCAGACAGGATACTGGGCTGGATGGACCTTTGGTCTGACCCAGTCTGGGCCGTTCTTATGTTCTTATGTAATGAATGGGTCACTTTCACCCATCCAGAAGCGTGATAGAAATGTAGCCGTGTTAGTCTGGTGTAGCTGAAACAAAACACAGGACTATGTCGCACTTTAAAGACTAACAAGATGGTTTATTAGGTGAGGAGCTTCCGTGGGCCAGACCCACTTCCTCAGATCAAATAGTGGAAGAAATTGTCACAACTAAATATACCAAAGGGATACAATTAAAAAAATGAACACATATGAAAAGGACAAATCACATTTCATAACAGAAGGGGGATGGGGGAGGGGGGAAGGTAAATGTCTGTGAGCTAATGATATTAGAGGTGATAATTGGGGAAGCTATCTTTGTAATGGGTAGGATCCCCCATCCCCCTTCTGTTCTGAAATTTGATTTGTCCTTTTCATATGTGTTCATTTTTTTCATTGTATCCTTTGGTATATATGGTTGTGACAATTTTCTTCCACTATTCAATCTGAGGAAGTGGGTCTGGCCCACGGAAGCTCCTCACCTAATAAACCATCTTGTTAGTCTTTAAAGTGCGACATAGTCCTGTGTTTTGCTTCACCATCCAGAAGAGAGAGTCAGCTGTACCCGATGGTCCCTGGACTTGTGCTCTGTCAGCCTGAGGCAGGGGGAGGGAGTTCCAGGTCCAGAGCCCTCTGGTGAAAACACCCACCCCCCAGGTCTTACATGAACCCATCTGGGCACGCAGGGACGCAGCCGATCTCAACTGTGCTCACGCAGAGAGCTGGTGCTCTGACCCTACATCCCAAATCAACGTAAATGGACGCTGATCCAGCTCCTTCCCTACTCCAGCGGAGATTCACACGCAACTCGCTCACTGCAGTGACCATTCACAGACCCCCCCCCCCTCCCTGCCCCGTCTGTTCCCTGGCCGTGAGCCCAGGGCTAGGGGAAGCCCCAGGCTTGGGGAGGTGAATTCTCTTTTGGCAGCCTTGCAAGTGCCACCATGCTCTGGCCGCAACGGAGGGGACAGTGACAAAGAGCATTCATTAAGGGCTTTGCCGGGCAGCTGTGGCCGCATCCTGTCTAGCCAGGTGCCCTTGACAGCGAGATGGATGATGTAATTACTGGCCGTGAGCCCAGGGCTAGGGGAAGCCCCAGGCTTGGGGAGGTGAATTCTCTTTTGGCAGCCTTGCAAGTGCCACCATGCTCTGGCCGCAACGGAGGGGACAGTGACAAAGAGCATTCATTAAGGGCTTTGCCGGGCAGCTGTGGCCGCATCCTGTCTAGCCAGGTGCCCTTGACAGCGAGATGGATGATGTAATTACCAGCATATCCGTTACCTCTACTCAACCCGCTGCCAAGCAGGTCCCAGCAGCAGCCCAGGGGACGGTGTTTCGGGACACGATGGGGCAGCTGTGAGGTCGGGGAAGGGAATGGAGAGATTCCCATTCAGCCTGAAATCCCTTCACTTGACCGTCCGATTTTCTATACAAGCCACTGACAACGGGGGGGAAAGTCAAGCATCCATGGCCCTCCTCCGCTCCCTGCGATTTCGCTGCAAGGTTTGGTTCAGGGGCCTTCATGCGGAGGAGCTCCAAGTGGTAGATCAGACTGGCAGCCATTCTGGGAGACATGGCTTAGCCAGAAACAATGTACTGAGCTCCATACAGTGAAGCTTAGTGGCCTGTGAGCATCCACTGACAACGGGGGGGAAAGTCAAGCATCCATGGCCCTCCTCCGCTCCCTGCGATTTCGCTGCAAGGTTTGGTTCAGGGGCCTTCATGCGGAGGAGCTCCAAGTGGTAGATCAGACTGGCAGCCATTCTGGGAGACATGGCTTAGCCAGAAACAATGTACTGAGCTCCATACAGTGAAGCTTAGTGGCCTGTGAGCATCCGCGGTGGGTGAAGGTAGGGTTGGGGGACGCAAGCCCCCAGCCCCGCCTCTTCTGCCCCGGCCCCGC